TTTTCTGTTTTTGATAGTTAGTCGTATTCTGCAGTTGCTAAGATTTTAGCATACCCTCTCTTATTCTTGTGATTTTTTCAGATCCTTTTATGTGTTGCAGAAATGCTTCACTGAAGAAGAGAACAGAGGCTTAGTTTCTGGCACAGGGGAAGGGGAGCATGCAGCCTCTTTTCTAATCAATAAATGAAATCAGATTCCCTTTCAGAACCTAAACATCAAAGAGTGTATCAGTGTACACTTCATTTCAAAGAGAATGGAAGGAAAGTGCTGGAACGTTAGCTGCTGAGAATGTATGGCTACTACAGTGTGCAGGTTTATATTAAGAAAGCTTTGACTGTTGCTTTTTAAACACTCAGAAGTGTTTTTTTACATTTATAGTGCCACATACTTATTAACAGTTATATGAGGCATATAAAGAGATGTAGACAGCCTCTATCAAGAGGATAGATACAGTACAAAATATCCTACAAGGATTTAGGAATCCTTGGTGCTTCCTTTTGGTGCTAGAGACGTGTCTGTATAGTCACCCCCTCTCCTCTCCCCTTGTGTGTGTGAGGGAGTATAAATTGTGCATGTAGCAGGCAAAATATTCTGCAGTCTCTATGTGGCACGTAATTTGTTTTCATTGCTTCCCACAGAGGAGAAGGACTTCTGAAAACTACTCAAGATTTATTTCATCAAGCAGAGGTAATACATTTTTAACAAAGTAGGAGCTAGGGATTATGAATGAAGAACAAAATGCAAATTTAATGCTTTGATTCTTTATACATCAATACAGTGTATCAGAAATTGTCAACTGTAGGTTTTAAGCAGCATAACTCTTGTTCAGGTTATTCCTGAAAGCTCATGTTGCAGTGTTCTTGTAGGTGCTTAATTAAGACAGTGCTACTTTATCTGAGATTCCCGTTCCAATTGGGAAATACAGTCGCCTTTAATGTGATAGTTTTCTTTACTGTGTCACTTAATTCAGTTCCTGATGGTGTTAACAAGTACTCCATCCTAGTCTGAGCAATGGTATTCTCCTAGGGGAGGAAGAAGATAGGGCATGAAGCTGGTGAAGGGTTTGAAGTACACGTCTTACTAGGAGCAGCTAAGGGAACTGGGACTGTTCAGTTTGGAAGAAGCTCAGGGGAGACCTTATCACCCTTTACAATGACCTTGAATGGAGGTTATGGCAAGGTAGGGGTCGGCATCTTCTCCCAGGTAACAGTGATAAGATGAGAGGGAATGGCCTTGAGTTGTGTCATGGGAGGTTCAGGCTGGATATTAGGAAGAAATTCTCAGAAAGAGGGGTGAAGCAGTGGCACAAGCTGCCGAGGGAGGTGGTGGGGTCACTGTTTCTGGAGGTGTTCAAACCGTGTGGATCTGGCACTGAGGAAAGTGGGGGGAGTGGGTTGGGAGTTGGACTTAATTTTATCTTTTCCAACCTTAATGATTCTAAAAACAAGGGACCAAATAAGGGAACGTCGAATGGCATTACCAAGATGTGTGAACATTTAACAGGAGACTGGTCACAACAAATATGGCTGGGTGTCATCTTTTTTTTTCTCTTTCAGATTTTTGCTACAGAAGGAATTAAGCTTGCTTCAGCTCTTCAGGTCTTTTCTGATCAGGTGATGTATGGCAACTAGGATAGACATTCAGCTTACGGCTTCAATGATACTGCTTATAAGCTGCTTGCTTTCTCCATTAACTTAGTAGTGAGTCTGTAACAATGGGTGGTTTTGTTTTCCTAAAATGCATTTCAGGTACATGATGATGACAAACCTTTGCTACTGTTGGAGGCTGAAAAACTGATCCCCATATGCAAGCAGCTCCAGATAACAGCAAAAACTTCTGTTCAGGGTAAAAGTGCTACATTTACAAAGGTAAAGTAAAAATTATCTATGCTTGGAAATCTAACTAGTTTTGAAACACAGAGACTTAGTATTTTGTGGTCCTGATAAAATACAAAACAGATAAACTTCTTGGATTGGCAGAAGGAGGTAAAACTTAAGAAGTACAAAATTATATAATGTTGTGGAAGCATTTAAGCTTTTCTGCTATGCAATACTTCACTGTTGCTGTTCTTTATGAGGAAGAGGAATTTACCTCAAGTTGAAGTACTGTTTTGCTCTCCACATCTTTTGAGAAGCTAATGGGCGAAGTGTAGAGGAAGAACAGTAAGAACTGTTCCTCCTAATGAAAATGTTTTCTCCCATCTCTACTGGTAGCTGTAACTCCAGCCATTCTCTGCAGAACTTTGTGTCAGGAAAGAATGTTTTTCAGCCCTGGTGCAATTGTTTTCTGGACTCTTTTTCCCATTAGCAGAGTGGGGCTTCAAGGAAGTTTATCCTGACCCCATTATTCATGCTGAGAGTTTGAAGAGAGGCAAACTACATGTATGCTGGGTGCCAGCTTGTCAGAAGTATGCAGATGGATAGTTTGGGTAGCATTACTCTTCAGGCCTTCGTGACTATTTTCTTTAGGGAGCATGGATATCCATATTTTATATAATTAGTCCACTGACCACAGACATATCATTAATATCAGGGCAAGGGGAAATGGTTTTAAGTTGATGGAGGGAAGATTTAGGTTGGATGTCAGGGGAAGTTTTTTAGGATGAGAGTGGTAAGGTGCTGGAACAGGCTGCCCAGAGATGTTGTGGATGCCCCAGCCCAGGAGGTATTCAAGGCCACGTTGGATGGGGCCCTGGGCAGCCTGGTCTAGCATTAAATGGGGAGGTTGGTGGCCCTGCATGTGGCAGGGGGCTTGGAGATTCATGATCCTTGAGGTCCCTTCCAACTCGGGCCATTCCGTGATTCTGTAATATTAATGTTTTTTCCCTACTGGTAGCTTATCATGTGAGCTGGGGAATCAGTATGTAACAGGATTTAGGGAATATCTTTTCTGTTTCTAAAATTACCAAAATTAACACCTTGGTTGAGTTAGAAATATTTCCCAGGACACCAATGCTCCTAGACATCTGTAGGGTGCCATTACTGTGTATTATTTTTTACTGCTGGGGACTTTTGTCAAGGAATTTACATCAAAGTTTTCCTCAACTTACCCACTATCTATAATGGTGAAACTGAGAATTCTCAGCTTGGTGAGAGATGGTATTTATTTTGCTGTAACATACAGAACTTTCATTGAAGAAATGTGAGCTGTAGTTAAGTGTAACTCACTAAGAAAAGACTTCAGTGCTCAAAGTGTATTAATGAAGGTAATTTGTAGTACTGTTGTCATAATTAGTTATTATCTTGTAATTGATGCTTTAGATAAACATAAATTCCAATCCCTGAATACTCTGTTATTAAAATACATGTTGCTTCTCCAAAGGTAGAGTCCATTCTAAGCTGCCTAGAATTTATTCTATTACTTGTTATACGTCCACTTGTACATAGTTGCCATAATGCACTCTTACCGTGATAACAATGGTCTACAAATGATAGCAGCAAGTAGAAGCAGAACTTCTTAAGAAGAGCAGTAGGGTATGACCTGTGTGCCTGGGTGTTGGTTTCCCATTAGCTCTGTAAGAGATGTTTCCATTTTGTAGGAGGAACAGCTCAGTTCTGATACCAGCTACACCATCTAAAGGAATCAAACCCGAACTTAGCACCTGAGGGCCGTTGCTTGGTTTCTTCCACATGCTCTAGCTAGACTAAATGGGAGCTCTAGGCTCTATAGGTACATGGTGCTAAAGGCTATCAAATTAATGTTTCTGGACAGCCTAAACTTAATGATCTGTGCTGTGCTTTAGGCTTAAATTCTAATAATTGAATAGTTTTAATGTAACTCATATCAAAGTAAGGCTTCTGTGATGCACTGCTTTCTAAAATCATGCTGAAAGGAAGTTTAAAAAAAAAAAGTCAGATGAAGAATTGTGATCAAGTACACTTAAATAGTGAGAGCATTATTTCTGAGACATATATTACTCTTTTAATATTATTTTTAGCTCCCTCTCCTGGGATGTGCATCATTCTCTTCTCCTTCACAGCTCCTGCCTTGGTTTAACAGAAGGGATGCTGCTGCATTATGAACAATACAGGAAGTTGAGCAGGCTGGCAAAACCTTCAGACTAGAAAAGATTGGATTTGTTTGTCCTTCTATTTTGAGCTTGAAATGAATACAATTTTTGTCTCATGTTGCCTAATGGAAGTGATCAGTGGTCTTACTCAACTGTAACTGTCTTGTATAGGTTGATGCATGCATTCAGAAAACAAGGAATGTGATGACTCTGTTATGTCAACTTCTTCCAGTTTGCAGCAAATTAACGAGAAAGGTGAGTACTTTGTCTGCAGTATTTTAAACTTGGGATTTCTTTTTTGTTTTTTTGTATGTTTGCTTACTTTTTACAATACATTGTCTTTGTATACAGAATAAAACAGGAAATGGCTATCTCAAGCCTGCTCCCCCATGGAAAGAAGGCAGAACACAAACCAGTACAAGTGCACACGCTCCAGAAAGGAGAGTGGAGATGTTTGGTATCAAGTCTTTGGAAAATCACGTAACTAAAATGACATTTTTAGAGAGCAAGTAATTACAGCACTTAGAAATTGCAGAAGCTCCATTAGGGAAAATAACACTTGCTGAAGTTTCAACTTTGCTTTCATTTGTTGAAAGTCAAACCAGGTTAATTTGAATTAAACCTATTGACCTTTGTCACATCTAATAGATGTCCCGTTACTTAACAATGACAGCACCAACTAGTGTAATCATTATGTATTTTCATAATGTGAATGAATTTCCTACGCTCACTGTTGATACTGGTTTTGTAATTAATGCTTACGAATGTCTTAATGGATGTTTCAGCCCAAAGATGCTGCTAACAGACCTTTCACGTAAAGAATCCTATGCTCTATGTAACACTACTGCTGATGTTTGTAAATCCTCTCTGGCCCAATTCAGTCTATGGATTTATGAAGCCTATTCAGGAATGTAGTCTGAAAGGTTGTGGCCTGAAGCACTGAAACATTAGAGTTATACCTACAATGAAGTTGAGTCCTAAGAAAAAACACTCTTGGGAGAGCTTGACACTGAATCTTAGTTTTGTTGACATTATTCATATTTCCAAAGTGTACTTCTAAGTGATTAAGACTCTTGATTGAAACCCTTTTTCTTTCACTGTCTCTTTCTGTAGATGGCAGTTATTACTTCCTTTATGATTAAACTTTATTGAACAGAATTTGAATTGCATGTAGAATCACTGAAGTATCACATGTAGACTCTACATTGCAGCATTTAAAACTGAAGTAAATAGATACTGATTATGAGAAACCTCTGTAAAAAGGGCATTATTTGACTTCAGGATGCTAGGAAACGTAATCTGGTGTGAAATGCTTGTTTTCAAGGTTATCTGCTCATCATAGGCAAGCTCCTATTGCATTTTATTTTCAATTCACCTTTGTCAATAGTACAACTAATACAACATGGGGCCAAATTACCCAACAGCTCAATTGTGCTTTTTCTCCATGCATTACGTTTGCATTGAGCCAGGAGCAAAGAGATCCCTGGAACACAAACACTCTCCAAAATTGATCTGTGCTTATGTAAAAAATGTGTAGTACTACAACTGTGGGAGAAATCAGATTTTAATATACAAACTACAAACTATTTTGCCTGTTTCATACAAGAATAAAACAAATATGTCAAAGTTCTACTTTTACAAGTAGACACACAAACCTTTCAATGCCATGAAAGTTACAATGTAAAAGCAGCTTATTTAGCATCAAACACAGCTGCTGCCTGTATAATTAACTTCCTGAAGAAGAATTCTGACGTTTCAGTAAAACTTCCTTGTATTCTTCTGGTGTCAGAAGCCCATGAGTTATGCTCTTGCTCTCTTCAAATTTGGGTAGAACCACTGCAATGTATCCCTCAGTTGATGGCTGAAATGGAGGAATGATGTTAGCACTGAAGTAGTAAAATAAAGGCTAAAAGCTAAAAAGCTGCTCACCTTTTCTTGCAGAAGTGCGGGATTGCTAAGAATGTTTTCATTCACTTCTATCAGTCGCCCTCGTATACAACTGCAGAAGTACTGAGACTCAGTAAAAGTGCGCAGTATGGTGGGGGGAGGTATACAAATCCTTACCTGTAAATGGTATATTCTTCACCATCTGATGAGGATATCCTGCAGAGTGGGGCAAGTTCTGTTAAAAACTGAGCTCCCTGCATGTGGAAAAAAATACATATATGTTTCTAATTATCCAGCTCTTCTTACAGTTCCATAAACATCAGCAACAACACAAGTTGGTAAGTTACAGAACAAAGCAAGGACGTGTGATGGCTACAGATCATTATGGGTTCCATGGTTATATTTCCTTACAAGAATGGACACAGAATCATAGAATTGCTCAGGTTGGAAAAGACCACAACCTAGCTGTACTACCCTAACAACCCTCTGCTAAATCATGTCCCTGAGCACCAATCCAAACAGTTTTTAAACACATCTGGGGATGGTGACTCAGCCACCACCCTGGGGAGCCTATTCCAGTGCTTAACAACCCTTTCTTGTAAAGAAGTTTTTCCCGATCTCCAACCTAAAATTACCGTGGTGCAACTTGAGGCCATTTCCCCTCATTCTGTCACCTGTCACAGACCAGAAGTCTGCAATTATAGAAAGCCAACAAAACAATCCCCAAATCCTTGGCATTTCATGAAAACAAGTTTGTATCTATTAAGGGATATGTAAGTGTCTCTGTATACTATACAAAATTGATTTAGCAGAGACTGCTAGCAGCTGTTTGAGCAACACTGGCATCCCTCAGTGCTTCAGAGCACTGTTACCCCCGGGCTGAGGGTCTCTCTCTTTAAATCTGAATACAATTACCTGCAGAGGGCTGAAAATAAAAAGGATGGGTCACTGCCAGGGGTCAATCTGGGAAGGAGAGAGGGTCTCAGGCAGTGAGAAAGAGACAGACAAGAGCTAACCGAATCAGGAAGCCTCACACACATACCCTTTTGGACTTCCCAGACACTTTATTCTGAAGCCTGCTACAGTTGGGACTGATTTGGTAATTAATGCTTGTAATTGTTCTTCCATGCTGAAGAAGAGGGTGGGCTTCTGCCAACGTGATGACGCAGATTCTGCAACAGGAATGACAGTTACCGTGCGGTAGCGGTGCAGAGCCATGCCCCTGAGCGCTAGGACCACCTCCGGCGCCGTCTCCGCCCGCACCCGTAGATAAATACCTACAATCAGGCTTCAGCTGCGGGCATCGGGCCCGGCGTCACCCCCGTGCCCCTCGCAGAGCGGCGGGGGCAGCGCGGGCGCAACGCGAACCGACGGCCCCGAGGCCGCCCCGGCCGCGCGACGCCGCCAGAGGGCGCCGGGCCCGGGGGAGCAACACCCCGACACCGCGCGCCCCGCCCGCCAACTCGCCTGTTGGAGTGCTGCAGCACGCAGAAGTCCTCGCACGGCCGCCCCTTCACGTCTGCGAGAGGCCACAAACACGGGTGAGGGTGACGCCCCGGCACCCTCCATCCCGCCCGCCCGGCCGCGCCGCACCTGCCTTGTACCAGCGCGTGAAGTACCGCGCCGCGCCCCACGCCTCGGCCGCCGCCATGCTGCCGCTCGCACGGCGCACGCGCGGCCCCGCCCCGCGCCGGCAGCGGTTCCGGCCGCGCGGAGCGGCGCCCTGTCGTGGCTGCGCGGCGCCATCGCGCGTAATTAAAAGCGTGCTCCTGAGGCGGGGAAAAGTGGAAGAACTAACGCGGTGACGGCCCACCTGCAGTACTGCGTCCAGGACCCCAGCACGAGGAGCTGCTGGAGCGGGTTCAGAGGAGGGCACGATTCTGCTCAGGGAGCTGGAGCGATGGAGGCAGGCTGGGGGAGCTGGGCTTGTTCAGGGCAGAGAGGGCTGTGGGAAAGACATCATTACAGCCTTCTGCTACTTAAAGGGAGCTTATAAACAGGAGGGAAATAGGCCATGTAGAAAGTCTGATAGTAAAAGGAGTAACGGCTGTAAACTAAAAGAAGGGATATTTGGATTAGATGTCAGGAAGAAATTAATTACTCAGAGGGAAATGAGGCACTGGCACAGCTGCCCAGAGCAGCTGTGGTGCCCCATCCCTGGAGGCGCTCAAGCCCAGGTTGGATGGGGCCCTGGGCAGCTGAGCTGGTGGGGGCAGCCCTGCCCACAGTATGGGTGGGCTTTGAGGGCCCTTCCAAACCAAACCTCTGCAGGGTTCCAAGTAAACACAAAAAACAACACTTTGTTCAGTGGTTTATTCCATCAAGCACGCAGCAATACAATGGCAGCTATAACAGTTGTTTAAGTTTACCAAGACCACATTTCAAAGTAAGAACAATTGCATGAAAACATGGTTTCTGCTTCTATTTGTGGCAAACAGAACAAACTAGTTTTCCACAGAAGTTGTAATTACGCTTGACCCTGAATTCATGCAGCAGAAGAGCCACTTGGATTTAGACCTTGTAGCCTTGAATACTTTTAAAACAAATACAGTTCATTGTGCTCCTGCACAAGATCCCCCATGAATACAGAACAGCCACGCTGCTTGACCCATGCAGGCCAAGAACTCAGGCAAGGACTGGCATATGTGCAGTGGCACTCTTGCTGCAAGGACAGCACATGACGGATGCTACATACACACACAAGGCAAAAGCTTCAGAAGAATGTGGCACAGTGAAAATCACTTACTTAGAATCCACCCTTCCTTGCTCTGTTTGCCCAAGGCCAGTGCAGGCACTACAGAAGGTGGATACAGCTGCATTCAACACTCAGCTCTGTACCGTAGTTAACAAGGACACACAAAAAAAGGTGCTCCCATTTATCAGACACAGCAGGCAGGCACATTACCACAAGCTCCTCAGAAATATCAATGCATAAAAATAAAAGGCAGCTTAGAGATTCTGCTCTATCCCTGTGTCAAAGCATGAGAACTTTCACTGCAAGTACCTTTAAGAAGTAGAACCTTTGCTTCTGCTAAAGGCTGACAATGAAAATGTGGGCCAGCTTTGTCACTTTACTGCTACAAACAGCACATTTCAGACCATCTTCGGTTTCCTCAAATAGTGCTTTGCAGTCACTGGTACCACCCCACCAGAGACAAATGTGCTGGAGCACCAAGCCAACCCAAGTGCTCACCACCAGCTCATCTCATCCTCCTTCCCACGCGTACTGCAGGCAGGTTCATTTTTCACGTTGGTTTATTAGTAACTTATTTTGATCCACAGATATTTTCATGTCAGTTTCTCTCATTGCAAGCCAGCCAACGACTCACAGGAAACACAGCCCGGAAGCTGTGGATTTATAGCTGTTTAGTCACCAATCTAAACATCTCATAGGGGACACTCAGCCATGTGCCTGCTTCCTATCTCCCATCTACCACATAGACAAGAGAAGTTCTTCTGACTTCAACAATTAAGGATGTAGGCCAACAGAAACCACAAAAATTCAAAGCAAACTGAGTCAGGAGCCACCCACATCTGAAATAGCTCACAACTAAGGAAGTGAGCATGTCCAATTTCTCTGATAGCTGAGGGTGCAGGGCAGAAGGCAAAAGACAACCATAGTGCCCAAATTCTACAGCACTCACCCAGGAGGTTCCAGTATTTATGCATGCAACAGAGCTCTGAGAAGCTCAGAGGGAAAGGCGAGAGAAGACTTGCTGAGTGTTCTGCCTGAGAACACATCTTGCTCATGAAAAGCAATGCAGGAGCCAGAACTGGAGCACATCAGCTCTGACAATAACTGGTGCCATTGCCCCAGGAAAGGCAAGACCTGCTTAGACAGGGCACAACCAAAGTCAGATACTGCAATTCTGCAATACTAAGAAGAGACTTCCAGAGGAAGAAGAGTGGCCATGTTCTAAGATCCGGATTGACTGGGACCACTCAGGTTCAAGGTCAGCAGAAAAGGCACCAACTGGTCAAGGCATGGAAGCTTCAGTTTTGATATGGGGGTGTGAGGGGATGGGAGTGTTCTTTTAGACGTGTTTGTTTATCCTAGCTTCGTAGGAGTCAAAGATGATGACATTCAAACACTTGGGGTAGCAAAGAAAAGAGAAAGATCAGTTGTGGGGCTGTAGGCACAGCTTTAGCTATGACAGTTTGGAAATGGTCCTAACAGAGGTAAGGGCAAATATGCCACAAGAATTTAGAATTGTTTGAAAGAAATTGGAGTTACTTTCTCTTCAGAGCAAGTTCAAGTGAGCTAACAGTTTATAAGCAGGGAAGAAAGGAAAGCAACAGGTGGGATACGTGTAACCTTCCTAATTCAGTCTTGGGAACGCAAGAATAAGACTGCTGTGAGAACCAGCAAAGAGAGGAAGCAAAGAATGGCAGATCAAGGAGATGCTACAAAAAATGTAGCAGATGGCTGTTGTACCACAGTATGGTTTCTCTGCACCACAGACTGCAGGACTCCTGGCAGCCTTCTTGTGCTGTTTGCTCAGAGGTGAGCTTCTGAAGGAAGTACAGAGGGTTCATCAAAAGGCAGAAGTGTAGAATAAAGGAAAAAAAAGAAAAAAAAAAGGTAAAGCACTTGATGAAAGGAAAGGATGCACCTGTATTTTGTCAGTACTCTTGTTATAGATGAAATGAGCGCTCTAAGAGAGAAGCCTGTCCTTCTCTCCTAACAACTGCTCAGTTTCATAATGTGCAGATTTGTTGGAGTCAGAGAAGGCTCCAGCACACCTTAGTGCTCCCCTTAGGATGCATTATCCTTCCTTTGCCTCCTGACTTCAAAGGAAACAAGACAAATCCTGTTCCAAAGACACTGGCCAAATGCTGACTACAGGAAGATTTAAGAAACAAGTGTTTCCTTTGAGGCTGAGGTCCTCCCAGATCAGGCAATATGGAGAATGATAACAAGCTCTGTTCACTCTGCTTTCAAAAGGAAAAAGTTGCAAGGGAATCATCAGCACAGTTCTCCCAACTTCTAGATATGTAATCTCTTGCAGAATAGGAAAAGTGACTTTGATTTGCTCCTTTTTCTTCTGTTCCCAATTCAGATGTTGTAAATATTTTACTGAGCACACTAATTTTCCTTCTGTGATTTTCCACTATTATGGAGTGACTGATACCTGACCTTTTAAAAAAGAACAGAAATGAAGTTCAAGCCGTTGCTTATTTCAGAGTTGTTAAAAAAAAAAAAAAAAGGTAAGTATTCACCACACAAGTCTGAAAAAAATCTGTTCTTATTTAATCCTTCAGTATGAGCTCTGGCACTGGCATCAAAACCTTAATAGAGCTATGCTGATTATTTTGGCTTGCTTGAGAAACATTGATAGAACAGTATTTCATCACTGTGGAAAGGAGTTTAAATAAATCTGCCCGGTTAACCTGAGTAAAGAATTGAAGAGAGGTATAAAAGAGGTAACAGCCCACTGCCTGCAGACATTGTTTCTCAACCAGTGAAAGAAAGAAAGAAGCAAACAACAAAAAACAAACCTTTCAATTCATTCCAAACACCCATTTTTGATGTGACAGTTTTGGCTTTCATTTTAATGACAGACCACCATATGCCAGAATGCTTTAACTTGTCAGACATGGGATCATCAAATACTTCCTCTTCGTTCAAGTTTTTTTTTTACTCAGCTGAAGATTTAAAGAAGTGGTAAAGTTGAATCAGAGAAAAACTGTAATTGATTATTTCTGGTTTTAAGTAAGCGAGTTAAGATAGTGTATCTTATTATGTAAAAGCTGAGGCACACAATGTAATACTCACATTTCCTGCCAATTCTGCAACGTCATAAATGCAGATTTTTTTTTTATTTATTTATTTTTTTTACAATTGGCCTTTACATCTTTCCTTCCTACAGACACTTTCAGAGTGGTTGAGATATTAAGACCATAGATGGTAAGCTCAAACCAACACTCATGTATTTATGGGTTATTCTTCATATTCTGCTTCTTATACACGGTCAGAAAGCTTGCTCTTTGGATCTTCCAGCTTTAGCTGAAAGGATGTAATTGTTCTACAAGCACAGGTTTATCTTATGTTATTATGCAGAACTAGATGAATTCAACTCTGCCAGTCATCCCATTTCCCAAAACAAATCAAGAAGGCTGTTGTAGCAAAGGACTACTAACACTACTCCCCATCAAAACCTGTGATATAACTTCACCATTTCAGGCAGTGTAGATGTGATAGAACACTACTTTAAAAGTCTCTTTAACGGGATTCAAGTATACTACAGCTACAGTAACACTTTTACAATGTAATAGCCATACTGTTGTTGCCAATTTGAGGAATCAGTGAAGAGTAACTCCTATCAGTGAGGAAGAAACAGGTGAAACATACTTGCCACAAACACTTCAATCAAACAATTTCACATGAAATCATTTGCAGTAGAAACCAACTGGATTAAGAAACAGAATCCACAAGGAGAAGAACCACCAAGAGGATGGAGTGAGCTCATCTGCCACCCCCCGTAAACAAGGTGGACAAAAGCAGTTTCTACCAGTATAAATCCACACTACCCTACTGCATGTCTTTGTTGCTTTACACTGCTCACTGTGCTCTCTGTTCACTGGTTTTGATTGTGCCAGAATAAGAACCACTGACATTTTATTTGTTTATACCAACAAAAACATGAAGTAAAAAAAAGCCACTGTTGCATATATTTACATACAGTAAATAAATTCATGAAAACACCTTGGCCCCCACCACAGGTGACACTGCATTAATAGATTTGGCACTCACTATGACTTACTGAGTTTGTCTTGTCATGGTACCGTATGCAATATTACATTCCGAGTGAAAATCCTTACAGTTCTCATTGCTATAGGAGAGAAAAGGGTTGGAGAGTGAAAGACCCAAGGACAACAACAAAACACACCAATAGAAATACCAAGACTACACCAAGCGTACCCCTCTGTTATGGAATAATAAAAAAAACTACTACAGTTATAACTTAACACCAATCTCTACCCCGGCAAAATTACAGGTTTATGCTGAATACAATTTTATGTTCAAACACTGAGATGAGCAGCATTATCCCAAAACCCAAGAGAATTCCAGCATTCTGTAACAGGAAGTACCCCCAGCGGCTACATCCATGATCACTAGCATCATTGTGGAGCATTTCAGGCACCTAAACAAACAAGGAAGTGTTAAATATCTTCAAAATAAACAGTCATTTAGAACAGTTCTTCAATAATGTGGCACACAGTGGCTGAGTCTTACTCCTCAAGACTTTTCTGTTGGCTGCATTAATACTACTTCATGAATCAGGTGTCACTCAACAGGAGTAATATTATCTGTCTACTTTCATATAAGCTATTTACACACACAGAATCGGTAGTGGTCTAATTACTGTTTTCATGATAATTATGCTGACACCTTAATTATACTTGGAGTAAATGGCTGGCTTATTTACCAACTGATTTCATCAAGCCACACCAAGCATTTTATTCTTAAAACGACACTTAATCTTCCATGAACATCCATTAAGCACTTTGTACTTCTGTACAAACAAAATCTCTCCGTATCTCAGAATTATAATACAATCCTGGCTTCACCAAAAGAAGCACTAATGATTTGCTGCAAAATCCAAACCATGTTTGGTGGTGGAGAAAGCCAGCAAGACTAGAAGCACACCATCTGCTACACTCTACACCAACAGTCATCTAACTAAAAGCAATCCTGCACCTGGACATTTAACTGAGCACTTCTCAGTACCTTCAAGCACTAAAAAAAATGTTGAAGAGAGAGTAGAATAATTTATGACCAAAGTTTAATTGATACCAATTCTTACACTATGCTATGTGTAACACAGGATACGTAAACACAACCACTTACCATATCCACAAGCGCCACATACATGAATAAGCCAGCAGTAAGTGCAAATATCCACATGGAGACATTGTCTGCGTAATGACCAATAAGTATCCCAGTTGCCATTCCAAGGTAGGCCAACATTGCTGACAGGGCATTGTAAAGCACAGCTTGCTTGACAGTCATACCAGCTTTTAAAAGTACGGCAAAATCTCCTACAGCAGAAGAAAACAGAAGTTTACATCCCTTTCTTAAATTTAGGAAGTCTTCACTAATTTGTAAGTAACCCTTAAAAAGCCTTAATTTTGTTTAAAAGACTGAACAGTTACCAGCCAGAAAGATCTCCCATCATTCAGAGTAGAAATCTGTCCTAAGATCAGTGTAATGTATCTAAACAAAAGAGTAAAATAATGCAAGCTTGTTATTTGGAAAAAAAAAAAAAAATAAATAAAAATTGGTTCTAATTAAAAAAAAAGTAACTTCTCTTCAGTTAAAATAATTAAAAGCAGTTTCCAAAGTGGAGTTGAGAAGTTTGTTATAAAAGCTTTTCCCACAAGATGATACAATTAACTGGTGTAACATTATGAACATTGCTTAGCATTAAGAAAAATACGATAATTTCTTCCCCAGTTAACATCTGCTAATCCAATTTGTTTCAGTATTCCTACAGCATTCCATGTTCTCCGCTAAACAAGGTATTCACTCTAAGTTTTCTGTGTTGGCCAAAATAGCAGGATTTAAATTTTAGAAAGATTTCTTGTCTGAAAGCAAATACAACACTTGAATCCAGAGCACTGGATGTGTAACAAACTTATTTTGTGTGCTTGTATTAATGACACTTTGTATGTGTAGTTAATACAAGTTATGTAATTCCTACAGAATTTATATTAACACGAATAAGATAATTTCTTCCCTGCCATAAAACCATGTATGTTCTCCAGAGAAAGTAATTTATTTCTACAACATGATTGTACAGACAGCCAGATGTATCATTTAATAAATGGTTTGATATATACATGCTGGTTTACAAGCTGCATTAAATGTAACTGAGCAGTCCACTTTCTAGAGGATTAAACAAGTTTAAGAAGTGTAAGCAAACTGTTTCTTCCTCATTCTGTACACCAGGTAAGACCACGGTGACTAAGAATGAACTATCAGTTACATGTTCAAAATGCTTCAACAACTGAAAAGGAGATCATAGAATCACCAAGGTTGGAAAAGACCTCCAAGATCATCCAAGTCCAACCATCCACCTATCACCAAATCACCATTTCCTCACTAAACCACATCCCTCAGTACAACATCTAAATGTTTCTTAAACACCAGGATTGGTGACTCCACCACCTCCCTGTGCAGCCCTTGCGAGCATCTGACCGCTTTCTGAGAAGAAATTTTTCCTAACATCGAACCTGGATCTCCCCTGACACAACATGGGGCCATTCCCTCTTGTCCTATTGATACTAACACATGAGAGGTCAACCCCCACCTCGCCACAACCTCCTTTCAGAGAACTGTAGAGAGTGATAAGGTCTCCCCTGAGCTGCTTCTTCTCTAGAGCTCAACCAAAAGGTCAAGTTTTGCTCTCAGGAGCAGGGCATAACAGTAGACTTACGGGCATTCCTATAAGAAATTGCAGTCATGAATTTTGATCACTTAGACTTAAAAAAGAAAGCATTTTAAAATATTTTAAGTAGCTCTAATTCAAGTGAGGAACTACCTCAGTTCTTTGTCAGACTTAAAAGGAAAAGCAGCACATATTACACAGAAAGGATTTTGACTAATTGTAATCTTAATTTTAACAGCAAATGAGAATAAAACAAAACAGATGTGACGAAAGCAAATACTAACATGCACTCTCCTGCCATTCACTATCTGTACTATGAAGAATAAGAATTACAAACTATGCAGAACAATTTGTAAATAACTACAAGAGAATTAAACATGGTAGCAGAGATGTTTATGAACTGCATTAATATTCCTTTTAAAAATCTAAACATTATTTTAAATAAAAGTATCATTGAGTAGACAGTCTGATACGGCTGAAGTTGACATCAAAAAACTGTACCATAAAACAGAATGAAATAACCTACAATTCCCCATAGTGCCCCTGGGAGTACCTAGGTGGCTGCAGCATACTGAAATATTTGAGTCTTACCTAGCTCATGAGGTAATTCATGGCAAAACACAGCCACAGACGTGCTTAAACCACTTGATAAGCCTTCAGTAAAGGCTGCTCCTACAGAAAGACAGAAAAAAGACATTAGGTCATATTCAGTCATCAAGTGCTGACACATTGTTGTAACTGCTTATTAGGTTAGAACATACAATTATTCTCACTCAAACCTTCTTATGTTTCAGCAAGCATTTAGAAGTGTCACTGAAGTTTTTAAGATTGATGTATGTCACCCCAAAGCAACACTGTGCCCTCTAATCCCCTAAAACAAACCAAACTTCACTGACTTCTGAAATAAGCCTAGTACCATGCTGCAAAGAGGAGTACAGTCATTTGTAGCTGCTTGCACACAGGGGTCCAGGAGTAGGGCTGGCAGAGGGATGGCTACAACAGCTGTAAGAGCACAGGAAAGAAGCCCATCTCTCCACCAGTACTCCAGCAGCTTCCACCCAGGTAAAAAACTGTCACGCTTCTGGCAACAGTTGCCAGGAAAATGAGTTCTGCTCAGCCCCAAATATTTACCCAACACTTCAGATGGTCAGATTAGGGCCATCAAAACGGGAAGAAAGCTTTTCAGTGGCAGGCAATTCCCTCCCACGCAGGGTAGATGTCTGAGGCAGACCTGCCAACTAGAGCTATTGCATAAGGAAGTCCACTGCTTGCAGTCCTCCTCAACAATGGTATGGAGACTACCAAAGCTCAGTTGAGATCTGGCATAGAGATACTGCCTAAAACAGATAGCTCAAGGTGGGTGTGAATACCGCCCGCAGGCTTACAAGATGATCAGAAGCCTACAACATGTGCTCTAAAAGCTTGAGGAAGCTATGCATATTTAAATTCCACTTCTTTCACTAGAATAAACAGCAGCCTACAGCCACCTTCAGTGCAGACACAAAAGCAGGAGCCTAGCTTTTCAAAGCAGTGATAGAGAACGAGTCAGAGAGGCTGCAAATTACAACCAGGAGCTTCAGGCTAGACATAAATAAAACCTTCATTATTAAGAGAGAGGTGCAACAGCAGAAGAGGCTGGCCACAGAAGGGGAGAAACATCCATCCATGGAAGTTTCCAAGGTGTGGCTATGCACATCCATGACTTGCCCAACTGAGTGTTTCCAAGCACTGTGTTTCAAGCGACCTTCGAGGAGCATCCAATTTTATGGTTCTGTTTTCCAAGTTCAATTCAGTGAGCTGCAGTGTGCAAGACTAAAGCTATTTTGATTTAAGACCTCAACAAGAGTATTTCACACAGCACTCCAAAACACTTAGTCATAGCAGTCTACACAGTAATTAACACGTAAGTGACAAGCTACTGCTACTTGACTAGCTAAAGAGGCTATTAGTGAAAACTATCAATCTTCTCCATGCATCAATCTGTTTTCTTCTAAATACTGCTTTATAGTTTCTGAGTCAGATTTTGAAAGAGACAGAATAGCTACAGTTATCTCTTAAGACAAGAGACCTCATCAGAATTAAATTGGGCTTCAGTTCCTGAAGAGAGTAGATAAGGAAAGCAGAAAGTAATTACCTTCTCCCATGCCTGCATCCTCAATAATCTAGGAGTTCCTCTACATTACTGCCTTTATACAATGTTTTCAGTCTTATCACTTATTAGAAGGAAGTAAAAATACAAGAGTCCAGCTAAGTCACAAAAAGGTAAATCTAATTTTGTGGCCACCAAGGCAAACCATACAAAACCTGACTGTGTTACCAAGTACCTAAGCAGCTGAGAAAGCTGTATACTGCACACATACATAACAACCAAAAGAGAAGCTTAAGAACATGAATATTTGTTTTTATTTTTCACTGACTATTAATATTTTAACACATTTTTAGCAAACTGAATACTACACTAATGAATCTGATTAATGGTATTTCCCCCTCAAGAAGTTGATTTAATAGTGTTATGGTATTTACAAATATATTTGACTCATCACTTCTCTCAAAAAATAGAAAAAAATATATAGGTAAGATTAGTATGGAAACAAACAGCATTCTGCATGTTAGTTGCTTATTTGAAGCTATACAGAAAAGTTCAAGTCACAGGGCATAATTTCATAAGGGTTAGTCCGTGGAAGTGTTACATGATGGAAAACAAAGTACTAAAATCTCATTGCTACATAATAATCACAAGAGATTTAAGGGAAAAAGTAACTGATGGAAGTTACCAAACCACAAATCGCATGAAATGAACAAACTTAGGTTTAGACAGAAAGCCCTTCACTTATCTTCACAGAAGATGTTTACATCTTCATATAAATAAGCAGAAATGTTATATAAGTAGTATGGACAAAACATCAAGTAGGTGGTTTTCAAACTCATCCAGAACTTAAAAAAAAAAAAAAAAAATCATCTCCATTTTCATTAGTCTGAACACAGCAGAACTTTTAAAGGCTATTGCTCTCATTTGCTCAGTAAGCTTTTATAAGTTTTCTTTTCATAGTTTTCTTTTCATAACTCTTAAATCATAGTTCCTTTCTAAACCTCTCAAATGCTAAGAGATAATTGATTCGGCACGTAATTTGAATGCAAATCCTTCTTCTACCACACATTCAGAACTCATCTGCTAGAAAATTTACATTCCACGCTTCAACTTTCATAAAGAAATAAAAATAAAAGATTAAATCAGAAGGTCTCTTCTCACATTATTCTTTGAACTGACTGAACCTGAACAACTGCAAATACTGCTGTGAGAAAACAGTTACTATTGAGCTTCCTGCTCGAACAAGAATGGGCTTGTCTATGCAGTAAAATTTACAGTTGCTGCTGAACTGACTCTTCATTACTCTGTACAGGCTGGTAATGAATCCAATCCAATAGCTAAAACAAAACCACCACCACGCAGAATAGCATTAACGACTGAATTCAAGGTCATGAAAGAATAGCATAAGAATTAAGGATGATTACTGATTTAACTTCACTTTCTATAATTTGGTTTTACCAACAAATTTTCCTTCTAGAAAGAAGGAGACTCCAAGATCTGAGCTCAAATCCAGGAAACCAAAACACGAACATTAATCTGTTCATTTGTCATACCAAAAAGGCCTTTTAGTTAAAGTTCTATCAAAAAAGACTAAAGACTATAACACATAAAGGGAAAGGAGTCTGAACAAAAAGGAAAGTGTTTTCATTTCACTTATAAAAACACTGTACCATCTTTAACATAATTAAACTTCATTGAAATTAAAAAAGACTAAGAGCAAGATTTTGAGTTGAGCAAGATCAGTATTCAAGAAAAATAAAATGCTTTTTAAACATTTTCTCAAAAATAGAGACTAAGCTTGTTTTGAATCTGTTCAGGACACTGAGTGCCTGAAGGAATGCACTTATTCTATACTTCTACAGTTAATAGAGACATTCTTGAAGCAGAAATCTGCATAAAAGCAGCATACATTGATGTTACTGATATCCTCTCCACGAGTTGTTCTTCTGACAGCTAGTAACCAGTGTCCTACTTACATGCTGCTAGAACATAAAAAGCACTACTAACTTCCACAGAAGACTTGTACAAGTATGAGGAAGAACTACCACAATATTGCAAAAAGACAAATGGCAGCAACACCTGGCTACAATCACACCTGACAGAACTGCTCAGTCCAACCAACGCTTACCAATTGCTAGGCCATCACTGAAATTGTGCAGTCCATCTCCCATTATCACCATCCATGCTAGAGTTGCTATTCCAGCATCCTTCAGTTCTTCACGTGAGTAGCGCTGACTGTGACTGTGTGGATGATGGTTTTGATGATGATGGTGATGAAGAATGTGATGGTAGTCATGGTGGTGATGACTCAGGTGATCTGTCTGTCCAAGAGTATCGTGTAAGTGAGAATGACATTTGTTCCTACAGCCTCTGGATACATATTCATTATCAGCCTCTTCTTGATGAGAATGAGCTATCATGACTTCTTCTTCTTCTTGCACAGCTGGCTGCTGAGAAATGAAGGGCGATGGATCTTGTGAGTCTGTCCCTAGATAGCCCTCAGACCCTGTTACAAAAACCCAGAGCATAATATTATTTTTAGAGTCATCCAGGAAGCAAAGCTAAAATGAGCAAGTTGAATAAGTGATAAAGAAAAAAAATTAGCAAGCCTGAAAGTTGAAGTTGATAACCCAGTGTGCTGTAGCAAATGCTTCCACAACCAATGTTTGTTTTAATCAGATTTGGGGGAAAATTTTTATGTCATAACAATAAAAATCTATTACTTTGTCTCCTAGCACTAAAGCAGTCCCATACATTGTGGCCACAAATGCCTCCTAAAAAGTCAAAGAAGAATAAAAAACAAGCTTTTCATCTAAGACACAGTACAATTTAAGTACAATAGCATAAGACACTATGTTCAAATTTCATAGCATGAAAGCTGTTAGTTCAATTGCCTCAGAACAAAGACGACTGAAATGCATATGACATTAACTCAACTTTGGGCTAAAGAGTAAGAACACAAGAGAACAAGATTACGTTATGCAAAGTTCTGGCAACCTCCCTGCATTTTGTACAGAAATAATTAATATACACAACTTGTTAAGCTTTAGCACCTGAAAATATACACACAAGAATATAAACACAATGTGAAGCGTCCTCATATGAACATTAACAGCACGCTAACATTGACTATTTTATCTGACAAACTCTCCAGTCTTGTTACATTCCTTGCCTGCAGTTCTTTTCCTGCACTGCTGAGATTTCTTTCTTTAGACAGAAAATTACCTCTTGAAAAAAACTGGAAGCTGCTCTTAACTACAAGAGCCTACAAATATCTAGTGAGGTGTGGCTTTGTTTGCAACATGTTCTTCAGGACATCCAACCATTTGCAGATTAAGTATTTGAACACCTTGGATTATGGATTATCAACTTTGAGAATGAACATTCAAACCCCCCAAAAATTGGACTTAAATATGCACGGTCTGTTATTTAGACTTCTGTATCCAACATCTAGCAGTCTAATAGAAGTGTAGAAGTCATTAGATACGTCTATATATGCAACAGGCATAGCCAGTAGAGCTTCTCAGAATGACTTCAAAACACTCGTTTCTAAACTGAATCCACTACCTTCTTTAGAAAGGTTGGATAAGTTAGAAAGAGGTAGCGATTCAACCTACAGTAAGAATCAAATGAATAAACTGCCAGCAATCAGATACAGTGCTTTTTTAAGCTGTGCTGTTGCACAAGAACAACTGTGCAGTGATATTACTGAGACTTACGATCATCTGTATCTAACTTCTCTTCATTCGCTGAAAACTTCTTACTTTCTCCATCATCTTCATTTTTTTTCTTATTCCAAAAGAAAATACTGTAGTTATGAATATTTTACTTATTTTTCAGGATATACATGAGCAATATTATATTCACAACATTTATGCAGCCTGCACAAAAAGAGGACAACATGGAAGCCATATAAAGGAGGCAGAGGAGGAACATTAGAAATTCTTTTAAGTACAGTAAAAACACAAAAGTTTCCCAGGCTCCAGAGGAGTGAAAAAATGAACATGAAGTAAATACAACGTACTTCTGTGAAAGGACTAAATAGAAGGGTTCATTTGATAAGTAAAAACAGAAATATGCTGAACAAGAACTACTCTGCTAGATCTGTAACATCAGTATAATGCTTAATGCTGGCATACCGAAGAAAAGCCAAACAAAAATCTTTATTCATTGCTCACTAACGTCAGTATCACAAAAGTTTATGATCAATGGCTATCTAGAAAGCCTTGTGCCTTAGTCCAACAGGAAATCCATTCTCAGTGACTGACAGATAAGGATACAGAAAATACTAGCTTTGCTTGTAACTCTTCACACCACTTCCTTGTGAATACATTTAACTAAAGATGGTGGAAGTGATCCTGTCACTCACAGTTAGTTTCACTTCCTCTAGTATCAACCACACCAACAGAATCAGCTGGGATCCAAGTAAAAGAGCTTACAACTTCTGCACTGAATCTGCTCATCTAGCATTTACAACTCACTGAAATCAATTATTCTTTACACCTTCCACATAAAACACAGCACAGTAATGTGAAGGCTGTGTTGCACTGCCGTTTCAGGAGAGAGTAAAGAAACTTGCAAGATGGTATTTTCAAGCAGAATGCCATCTACAGATATCACCTTCTGTCACCTTCTACAGTGCAGTCAGATGCTGAGTTGCCTAAGGAATGACTGCTGCCCTTACCCATTTTGTGGAAGTGCTCCCTCAGCAGTAATGCAGTAACTGCACAAGGCCATCTTATTTCATCCAGTATGAGATTTAAATGAACAATTTTAAGAATTAGATAATCCTATAATTTCCTTGAGAAGTCAGAACGAAATCAATAATGAACAATAACTTCTCAAATTTCTAACTTAAAACAAAGCTGTGTGCTTATTAAACAATTCACACATACTACCTGTCTGGTTAAAGAGATAGTTCTGAGCTCTTCCCAAACATGACCACAAAAAAAAAAAAAAAAAAGCAAGTAACCAAACCACCCACTGTCTAGTTTGAAAGCATCGATGTCGCCAAGAGAAATAGAACAGAGCACTAATCTAATCAGCAATTGCTACTATATCCAATAACAATATACACAATCCTTCTGTTTCTATGAAAGTGTACTCAGAAGTCATCATGCAACGCAACAAATTCAAATTAATCGTTTCTCTACCTTTTTCTTCTTGTCTTTAAACTGCTTTATTAAAGTGATCAAATGCTCCGCTAGAAACATAAAATACAAGCCTCCCAGTGCTGTAAGTCCCTTCCATGTAGAATCCAGGTAAGCACTCTCTTCTGTACTTTGAAAAACAAGATGCTTGAACAGAGGACCTTTGTTCTGTTCAAGCGGAGCCTTTTCGTGGTGATGGTGGTGGTTTCCATGAGACTAAAGGGAGAAGCAAGAGGGGAAATCATTATATTCAGAAGAATTGACAACAAAAGAAACATACAAAGCTCTCTGCACATTCTCTTCTTCAAATCTTGAGTACAGATTTAGCACTTAGAATGGGATAAATGCTCTGGATACAACCTCAAACAATTACAAGGAAAATCTCTTGACAGAAACTACTGAGAACAGTCCTGGCTTTCATTCTCTCAGTGAAGTTACTTGCAGGTATAATGCACACATGCATGCACGTTCATACACACACATTTAGATTTTCAGGGACATCACATGGAAAGTTCAAGACTAACAGAAATGAACAGAAAGAACTCACAGCTCTGAAACCTGTTGTTTAGTACATCTTACCTGGAAGCTGGGTCTAGAAATGTGATTAAGAGCTTCATGAAATTTAGAAATGTTACAACCATATTCCAATTTTATTATCTGTATTACCTATCAGTAAAGGAACATTTCAAAGCCTATCAAGTAATGTTTTTTTAGGACTTTAGAAATGTTCAATTCGGATAAAAAAACATAAATGGATAAGCAATCAACATATATGTCTGACAACATGAAATAGTGGATTTTCTATTCCCCATTTAAAGAGCACAGTGAACTATTTCTGCTGCCTATGAGGTTCATGAAACTGATGGAGGAAAAAGAGATGGCACTGCAATAAGTGACTAGAAAAACATTTATGCAAAATTCTTGTGGGCAACAAACTGTGAGCGATTTGGCAGCATGCATGACTGAGAAAACAGGATACAGCTTGAGAGAAAGGGGTGTGAAGTTTTACACTATAAGATTGACAGAAATAATACAAACAGCTCCAAACAGGAAGTTATTAGGAGAAAAAAAATATTTCTATTAAATAATCTATCTTACTAGCATATGTTAATTAATAAAACTACCACTAATACACACACCAGCTGTCAGTATGGCCCTCTTGAAATAACTAATGAAGCAGTAATTAATACTTACATGTGGAAGGAGATGTAAGAAGGCATCCCCGCTTAAAGTCCCCACAGCCAATGCCACAAGAAAACTTAGAAGAAATTTGAAAAACACACGATTCATCAAAGGTACCAGTATAACCCCCAATAAAGAAAGGAAACTGATGACTGAGATGGATATAAAGCCACCAATCCAAGCTGTTAAAAGAAGAAAGAAAATGTAAACAACTGCTACATGAGATGCTGTTTGCTTAACTTTTTTTTTTTTTTTTTAAATCAAATACTCTTATCATCTGATTAGATATTAGCAAGCATTGGGCCATAAAGATTTATGCCCACATGTGATAAGAAGCCCTATAAGAAAATCATCAGCTTCTTTTCTTTCAGCTTTGAAATACATTTCTGAGATTTATAACATATACAGGTTTTGAGCAGGTTTCTATTCCTCATGAAAAAAAATAACTTACCTATTTGAAGAGAATAACCTTTTGGAGGAGCTTCAGCTTTTTCGCTACTCGCATGGACTATGCAGTATTTCCCATCAATCTGATTAATAAGAGCTGGGCAGAGATAGCTAAATTCTGTGGCAGACAACAATACTTCAGTGCTTATTCCATGGGACTGCATCAGCTTTGATGCACTGGAGCACTGTGGAAAGACATTTCTTAAAGTTAGCCAGAATCAAAATACCGTACCTTAGAATGACTGCATCTGCTTTCTTAATTGAAATCAGTAGCAACCCAACACGACCACAGCTACACGGACAGTAATTAAAAAGCAGTAACAAATCACTTCAGTAAGAACTACACCTTTATCCTCTCTTCTGGCCCAGAAGGCGAGCTGGGCAGCGCTGACAGACGATGCGTGATTATCACACATTCTCAGCACAAGGAGGACAGATGGTTTGTTTTGAGATTAGAAAAAAGCCTAACACTTCTGACTCTGTTTTAGAGGCTGGATAAGGAAGTAATACAAAAAGCTCTTAAGCTTTGTTTTATGTCACTACCGTGAAAAGAGCACTACCACCACACACTTCCTTCAGTAAAGAACTTTCCACTTCCTGACCTACAGGCTTCAGTACTCCCCTTGATTCCCTCAGCAGCACTTCTGCTCTGATTGTGCAGAATGCAGCAATTACTCACAGAGATAGCACCCACTAATCAAACGCTGCACATACCTGCTCTGAATTAACTAGAATAACTGCACGATTAATACTCCAGAGGGACGCTTGCTTTTTAAAGCTCTCAGTGGAGAAAGATCGTGTAACAGAACTGTCTACAACCAAATGATTGACTTCATCAGCACTCTTTTTCACTACCTTAAAGTAACAAGGCATCATTTTGCAGCAAACTTTTCTTCTTCAGTTATTTCCAAATCAAGGGCACATACTATTTATTTCCTGCCCACGTGCACAAAAGTACAAGCTCTACAGACACAGTCACATGTGCCCACAGTCTTTGGCTGCACTTACACAGCAAGAAATTCATTTCAGGAAAACAGTATTTGAGTATTCACTTAGTGGTGCCTTGGGTACTTGAAGTTCCCTTGCTGCTTTTGTATGAAGTAAAGGGAGTTTTCCTGCAGAGTATTGCTAACTTGTATATATTTGCCTAAATAGAGCTCTTCAATGTCACTGCACATTTTAGAGTCAGTAAATAAGTATATAAAAACAAATGTGTGTTTATATTTAATATAAACATGCATTTCCTTCTAAGAAAAGAGTATTACATAAATGAGATAGTGTTACGTATTTTCTGAGCTTGTGAGCATAACATTTTTTCAAGCCAAAGAGTTAAGATTCAAGAAAACCTACTGTTCCACATTTCTTCTATGAACACAGTTCTACTATAAAGCCTGGACCTAGTTAAACATTAAGTTCCTGGTAAGTAAGCCATAACAATGCTCCTAAGGGACCTAAGTTCCCAGAACACAACAAAGCATCTCACCTCTTGGGTGTTTGGGTTTTTAAGTTTGGAATACAGGTAACTTCCTTTTTCCAATTCCTTCAGAGAAACATGAGATTCATTTGACTTGATGTTTGCAAGCCAACTCGTACTGCTTCCATTTGTGATATTAATGGTGTTAGAGCCAGCCAGGCCTACGTGAGCAACAGACTTGCCTTCTGCAGGTTCCAAATTCTGCAGTTCAGAACTGCCGTCTGTGGGAGTAGTGTTGATTGACCCAGTGATTTCATTAACGGTGTTCTTACTGTGGACAAAGTTGTGCTGATGGTCTGCATTCTCTGCTTTATGAGGCTCCTTTGAATGATTGTTCCTGGGGTCTTTGTTAGCATCAGATTCGTGGTTTGGACAAACAGTTTTCTCAGAGTTTTTATTCAAGGAAACGTGGTTATGATGAAGATGATGATCATGGTCACGATCGTGGTTATGATCTATTTTAATTCTTTTCATTTTATCTATCCCTATGTTCTGGATCAGTTTTCTAAATCCTTCAATTGTCAGAGAGTTGTTTTCTCCATAACGATTAAAAAGTTCTTGAAGGTGATGCTTCTGTCTCAATCCTGCCAAGTCATCATTAATGCCAGCTGCCTTTTCTGGAAAAGTTCTCTCCAGTGTCTGCACAACAGTAGTTGTCTCCACTCCACGATGATAACTTTCACACAACAGTATGAAAAACGATACGAGGAACGTGACAGACACCGTGCTCTCCATTGCAGTGCCCTGTTAGGCATTAAATGAACAAAAACAACTATAAAAAAGCTTCTCAGTTTGCATAAAACTGATGTCCTAATCTGTAATATACTTCCAGAACCAGCAAAAAAAAAGCCTTGCCCAAGTTACCAAAGTACCCAGAGAAGATCCATATAGACTTCCCAGCACACAGTGCCCTCCCAGCCACGAAGCCTCACGCAGCGCAGGATGGAGCTGCGCAGCACAGCGACGTGCCCGGCCACAATCACTGCTCGGGGCGTAAGCTCACCTCAGCTTAGCTCGGCCTGAGGCAGCTTTCTAACACGACAGAAACGGATGACAGCATCCTCACGGCCGTGCCAATTGAGTTCATGATGCGGCCAAACCCTGCATTGTTAAATCCTCACCGCTCTCGGCCGGCCAACAAGGCAAGCACTTAGCATTCCCCGGCAGTTACTTTAGGCGCTTCGCACGCTACTATCGTACATCTCCTCCGGCCAGGCAGGCGGACCGCCGCCTCGCCACAACGTAGCCGGCGGTACCCCGCCCCGAGCCGTCGCCACGCGGTTGCCGGCCCCGCCCCGCCGCGAAGAAAAGCGAGCGCAAGCCTACCCGATCGCCGCCCGCAGCTTGGCCTCTGCAGGAGAAGGGAACCGGGGAGAAGGAGGACGCCGCGGCGCCGGCTGCTGTTAGCCGGCAGGCCGCCGCCGAGACCCGCACCCGCGGCCGCCCCTCAGCCGACGCACACGCGGGTCAGCGGTCGCCCCGCCCCTTCCGGATGCGGCGGCCAATGGGGAAGCGGGGCGGTGTCACGCGGCGGCCAATGGGGAAGCGGGGCGGTGTCACGCGGCGGCGGGCGCCGAGGGCGGGAGGGGCTGGGGGACAGGTAGGGCCGGGCGTGGGCTACGGGCACGGCTGTGTGCCGAGGGGAGCCTTGGTTCTGAGAGTGTGACTGGGTGTGCAAGTGGTCGGGCTGCTCCATGTGAAGTGCAGAATGCTCTAAAGGGAGTTAAAGTGAGCCAAGCGTGGTGAATCACGGAATTGCTTGGATTGGAAAGGAGTTTAAAGCCCCCTGCTGTGGGAAGGGCCACACACCAACCACCAGCTCAGGCTGCCCAGGGCCTTGAGGTGAGAAGAGGCTAGCAGTACTAACTCAAATTAATAGCCATTCCATGGAATCACAGAATCATTCACTGACCACGTCCCTCAGTGCCACATCCACATTCCTGAACGTCACCATGCAAGGTGACTCCACCATCTCCCTGGGCAGCCTGTGCCACTGCCTCACTGCTCTTCAGAGAAGAAATTCTTCCTAATATCTGATTGTACTTGCAGTGTAAGAAAACACACCAGATAGAACAGCATTCCTGAGATTCCTAGGAGTGGTCCCACGCAAGGACTCCCAGTCCTCAAAGAGGACTGGCACAGGGTATGGATGAGAAATTGGTTCGTGGAGTAGAAATTGACTGATGAGCAAAAGGCTTGGGTAAATGGAAAGCGGTGTCACTCTTTGGTGACATACACAAGGGTACTCCAGTGAACACTGGTTGAATCTGTCATTATAATTAACGATCTGGCAGAAGAAAACTGCTCTTCATGCACAAGTGAACAGAGAAAGTAAGAAAGGATGGAGGTCACTCAGGAAGGGTTTGAAACTTGCTGCAAGCTGATAGATGCCCTCTGTTTCTCAAATTCTGCTTTGCAATACCCCTCTTAAGTGACCGCAGCTCCAAAACATTTATATGCCCTGGCAGTAGGCTCTTGGTATTTCCCCTTTCTTCCTGTACCACTCCCAGAACTATATTTTCTGCCATTGCATCATTAATACTGCTGTAGCACTGGGTGCCATTCTGCTAATATATCCCAGCTGGATTTGAATCTGGCCTCCCCCATGTCACCAATTGCCAAGGCCTCTCAACTTTCTGGAGTGTGAAGGTAGTACCAAATGCAGTCCTAGAATACGAGGTTTTTTGTGTGTCTCTTGGCTGATTGCCAGCAGCTTGAACTTAACATCCAGTCCCTTCTCAGCCGTCTTTCTCCTTCTGTTTTCTGCTGCCACTGTCAGTGCCCCTGGCTTGCCAGATGATTCACATTACAGATCTCCATACCTAATACCTCCAAGCCTGGATGAATTAAACATGTTTGTTCAAAGGTTTGGCTGACTGGAGGGCAGAATGGAGCTATGGGTTGTGAACAGTTCCAGCAGCAGATCAGGCAATTTATTCCTTGTACTAGCTTTGAAGTATGGAGAAAATACTCTGTCCCTCAGCCTTACTCATTTTTTCCCCAGTGGGTGAGCAAGAAGATGCAAAATGCAGGAGGGGTGTATTTTTTATTATTAATGCAAATTCCCTTTGCATGAATACCATTGACCAGAAGCCTTTATGATACTGCAGTGACATAACATTTATGCCTAAGCTGCTAATGTTAGACATTTGTTTGTTATAATTTATTATTACTATTATTACTTCCAAATACAGATGCTGAATGGTGAGCCTGTTTTTCCAGCCTCTTGAATGTATCTGCTGTCTCCTGCTGTTTCATTGTGTCATATCTGCTGTCTCCTTTCACATCCTGTCAAGGTCATTTACAGATTTAAGCATCAGAGCTTAGGTCACAGGGAAATGGTCTTTGGTGCTAAAACGTTATCCTTTTCCTTCCTTATTTTAATTTGAGTAGTTAACTCAGGAAAGAAATAATAAAAAGGGGGTAGTAAAAACAGTCCTTTAAAAAAACCAAGCTTATTTGCAGTAAAACTTGAAGCCAAATCTCTTATGTCATACCTGAAATTATCTCTGTAAGTTTACCTCATGCCAAAATCAAAGCACCTGAGTTGTCTTTGTTCTTGCTGTTGTCCCAAGACTTACTCTCACATGTCCAGGAGCTCTGGACCACACCTAGCTATATAAATCATAGCGATGGCTACATAAAACAAGTGTCTTGGTGTCCCTTGTGGACTGTTCAGTGAATGTATAACACATTATAAGACGTTATTTAGAGAGACAACAGAGAGCAAATCAGGCAGCATCTCAACTGCTTCTGATCCATTGTGTGCCTGCAGCTCTAACGCCACCTGTGGCTCCAGGCCTCCAAGAGGGTGCAGCAGAGATGGGAAGGACCACCCTCAATGCCACTTTTGTTTGTTCTGTTTGGAGAGGCTTCCCGGAGGCAACAATCTTTTCACCTTGGAAACAAGGTGAATGAGGAGGAGTACAATGGATGTATGCAGTAACTGCTGTGGAGCCCAGGGAAGGGAGTGGTGATTCAGTCTCACAAGGAGCAGGGCTTCTAAGCGTCAGTGTAGCAGGCTGAAAGCAAGCTTGCCTTCCACAAGCAATTATGTCTTTTATAATTGAACTATAGCACTCATGTATCTAAGATGTTATTCTGGCTAAAATCAGAAAGCCCATTAACAGCCATTAGCTGAGCTAGATTGTGGTTGTTTTATATAACAGGCCTTGAGTTATTTAAAAAAAAAAAAAAAAAAAAAAAGACTTTAGGATCTATCAGGCTTCATCTGGTCTTGAATCTCTAACCTTAAGCCTAGCCTCAAACAGTTGGATGTTTCAGTAGTCAGTATGAGCAAAATCTTTAATCCAATCGCATCAACCAATTAAATAGCTGTAGTGTGAGACAACTGTGAGTGGTAGGTGAGGAAAGGAGTGTGTGAGCTGTGTCAGAGGAAGTGTTGATGAGCTCTCATTGGATTGTAGGGAATCAGTGAACTTAACTCCTTAGCCAACTGCACAGTCCCTATGGATGTTTTGTTTCCATCCAGACACGTGAATGTCGCAATTGTTTTCCCAGCTAGTCTGCATTTATATTAGAAATGTTTAGGGATTATGTAACCTGCTTAACTATTGGCAATAATGTTGCCCCAAAACTTCTTGATTGTTTTGCCAAGTATGTATCACAGAATCATAGAATATCCAAGTTTGAAGGGATCTACAATGATCATTGAGTCCAGCTCCTGGATCCATACACGACCACCCAAAATTCAAACCCTTTGTCTGAGAGTGGTGTCCAAATTCTTCTTGCACACTGGCAGCTTGGGGCCATGCTCACCGCTCTGGGCAGCCTGTTCCAGATCCCCCAAAAAAACTTAATATTTTGGGAACAATGAGATGCTGACTGCTTTAATTCAGTTCTAGTCTCCTGCATGCCTTCAATTTCTAGCTGTTGCAGGGCCTCATCAAAAATGTGTTGTATGAGCCCAATGTTATACTTAATGGAGGTGATGATAGGTGGGTAGGGAAAGGATTTTGAGTGTGATGCTGAGGTTCCTCTTAGGAAATATTCAACATATCAGCTTTTATTTCTGAAAGTTTCTTAGAATTTGAAAAGGATGATATTTTCTTGCATTTTAACTTCTCAGTTAGAACAGCTGCACAAAAAGAAAAATTACATTTGCTCTGAATGTTCTAAAGCATACTTGTTTCAAGCCACAGAGCTGTTATCACCTGATTTCTGTTGTGATTCTCTGTAATTTTTTTAAAATCTCCACTAATCCTTGTATACTACTGATAGAATTTCAAAACTGTAAAGGAATCCCCAAAGCCATGATTCCTTCTGTTACTGTTGCAAAATGTTCCTCTGTCTGGTAGCATACCGAATAACTACTTAGCAACTGCATATTTGATGGCACCATATTTTAAGTCTTATATTTTAATGTAGTCATATCATTAATTTTATTTATGTGTTCCTTATTGGTTTTCAAAATACGTAGCATTATATCTAGAAAAAAAATAATATCACTGGTTATGGCTGCCATATGGCTGCGAATATTCAGCAACCTGCAAGTTGAGTTTTGGTGGTTTTTATTAGCATATGTGCAGAGCAATAACAAAACATAAATAAGCATACGTCCTTCAGCAGAGATGGTAACAAGCATTGTACACAAATGGTTTCCTTATGTAAGGATTGCAAGGACCTTCTGCTCTGTTCCTGTCTCTCTGTAGTGGTTTGTTCTCGTTTCAAAGAATATTTTTCCTCTTCCTTCTCATAAGAATAGAGGGAAAACAAAAGAAGTAGTAATTTAAAAGTTGCACAGCATTAGGTCCTCTTGTGCTGTGCTTAGATGCACAAGGGCCTAGGGAAGAGCTAACTGTTAGGGTAGGGCATTGGCCCAAGTCATTTTCTTGCAAATCTTTGCTGCTTGTCATTTTAGAGCTGTTTACAAATCACTTTGAAAGAATAAGCCTTGAAATGATTAAAATATTAAAGAATGGAAATAAAATATTAAAGTTACACCTTTTTTTTTCCTCCACAGAACACCTTTTACCTTTAGCCTGATCCAACAGCTGCTGATCAGTGGAAGAGCTCCTAGTGGCTGAGCATGTGATCACCAGGTATTTACAAAGAAGAACTTTACAGTCTTGGTCTGCTGCAATCCTTCTCTTCAGTAGTTTTGATTCTGTTTATTGGTGTGTGTGTATTCATGTATGCTATTGATGTATCTAGAATACCGGTACAGAATGCAGATAAAAATGACTGGAATTCACAGTAGAAAAGCCCAAATTTTCACGTGAGTCAGTCATGGAGAAAATGCAAATGATTTGCTGTTCTAAAATAATACCAACAGGCAAAAAAATAAAAGTAATTTCTAAATTGTTAAACTTTACTATGATACATAACAATGACACAAAAAAAACCCACCTATTGTATAAGCTCTGTGTGACAAGCTGTGTGATTAGAGGCTCATCTCCATGAGCACAGAGAAGTAGTGACAGACAATGAAACTCCAGTGACATATT